AAGACATTCATTTTCATTTATATGAAAATTCCTTTTTACTACCAACTCACGGTTTTTAGATGTGCTTTAGTAAATTTGGGATCGCTTATTAGGCTTAATGAATTCACGAACTTCTTGAGACGGAATTGTACGCGGAATAGCTTTGGACCCTAGTGAATGGTCCAGTTCAAACGGCTTCCAATAGGATTTTTCCAACGAACATCGCTTTTTTGAATGGTTCGAGCTGAACCATTCAAAAAAAGCCCTATTCTGCTGATGAATTCAATAAATGCTATTCGATTCATTAAAAAGAATTCATTAAGTGTAAAATAAGTGCTGCTGAAACAAACCAAGCATCCATCCTAATCATGTTTTCCAATACGTAGTCATTGCATTGAGAATAGTTTGCAGCGCTGTTGAAATTGTATTCGTTGTAATTTTCTTGAGTCATATGCTTTTATTTATGTGGGGTTGCTACGTTGAATGTCTTATTTAGAGAGTTAAATAAAACTTAGAATGAATATGATGGTAATTTAAGTTGAACTATGCAACTAACGCATCAACTGTTACACCGTTTGCATAGTCCCATCCATATCCATACGATGAGCACATCATAGTCCGAATTATCCGTGACCTAGTGGAGATGTTCGCAGTAGCTTTTAGAGCAATTAGCGCTGATCTCTGTGACAATACTCTTTCTTACGAATACTGAATTTTTTGAACGATAGCACAGAATGATCAACCGTGTGGTAAACTATATTATCAATGCATTTGCGTCATTCCACTGGTCAAATCGCGTTAACTAAACTTTCCGCTGTAAAATCATCACCATCCAGCTGATCTCCTTGGATTCAGATGGTGACGGTAACATCCTCAACAATATTTTCGAATGGAGTCGCGAAACGTCTACTTGCCCTATTCTTCCTTGGGATTATGATAATAATGTTGGTGAAGACAGTTAAACCACCAGTGAATATGATTCGTGTGCATGCACGGACAGCGGACAAGCCTGCTTGTGCTTCAAACAACATGACTGAGAATGACGACTTGCTTCAAAAAACGAAACAAATCTACCAGCAGCAGGCAATATCGCGCAAATCCATTTTGAACGACAGTTCTGCTCTCACACACGCACTTCTGCACACCTACATTGTACCTGAGGTAGTATCGCCATGCTTACAAAAGAGTACTTTTCATTGAAGTTCGTCAGTTAAAAAGGTATTCGTTGAGGTGAACCTTTCTCGAATGCCAACAGAATATACGATCGTTATGTGATCCAGTGTCAACCTTAATCAAGCAATAATCCTTCTTCAGGTGTACAAACTTTACTGGTGGTGAAAAAAACTTGCGACGGCAAAGCTTAGCTTGACCGCATAAAATACAGTCTATAGTGGCACTCTCAAACACTATTCGCGAGCAGATCCCGATAGCTATGCGTTCATGAATCTTACATCTAATACTCAACGTTACGTTCAGACGTGTTCAGCCTCTAATTGCAGGTTTTTTGCCCTGGTTTGACGCGCATCGGTAATTTGGGCGATGGTGGCAAGTGGATTTGTTCACCGTTCAATGTTCCTCGTGAAAACTGTGCGATCATATCGTTGGGTANCGCCAACGAAATAAGTTTCGAGACTGAACTGCAAAGATTTACTGATAAGCGCTGCAAATTAGTTGCCGTCGATAAGGTGAGCGAGAGCGCGAACGACGAATGACTTCAGCGCAACGAATTTCAGTTGAAATCTTTCAGTCGAATCAAACGGCCGAAGTCATAAAGGGATTGGAGTCGATAAACGGAAAATTCATGAAAGGTGAGCTGGGAGCAGTGCTGAATACGACAGCGAATCTGATTACACTCGATCACGTCATGCAAAAGACTGGAGTTAAATCAATCGAAATATTGAAAATCGATATAGAAGGCTGGTTGTATTGATGGAATTTCGAACATTACAGTTTGGAAGATTCACAATTTCTGGATTGTTCCCTGAATGGTCTAATAAAAACTTCTTTTTTTTCGCAATGACATAGTGTGATCGTTATATATAGTATTCAGACAATGGGTACGACATAAATTCATTCAATTTCAGGTGGCGAGGATCAAGTAATTCCACCGGTTATCGCGTCGCAAAATATTTGCCAAATACTCATCGAAATACATTATGCTTTGCCAAAGAGAATTCCGTTCATGAAGGTGCCCTTGTTTTATTATTTGTGAATTCCCTTTGCAAGCTGTGAAAAAAACAATCGGAAATTACGCAGTTTACTTAATGGAAACTCAATACCATCAGAATGGAAGCTGTTTACTGGTGATCGAATCCTGGAATTTTGTTTATTTTGACACTATTCATAACTGTAACTGCAAAGTCAAGGAGTTATTTTCGTGAGGTGTAATGCACATGTGTTCTGAATGGTAGAATGAGAAATAAATGAGACGAAACTGAGGAATAGTTCGTTGTTGTGCTATCGTATTGAACTCAGTTCCCCAATCAAGCTGGCAATATCGGAGACGAATTGTTGTCGGTACCATTTCCACTTTTTAAACGAGCTTAATCGTTTGAATAGTTCATAAAAACCGAAATTCTGTGTTAATAACTGCGATTGCTTTACAGGAAATCGCAAAGCATGGCTATTACCTGTTTGCACACGAGCTCAATCCTTACTGGCAGCAATTAAGCGAATATAGTTTCATTCATTCGTCATGTTTAAAGAAATACGGCGCCACTCTTCTTGCCAGTTACCTGTCCTGAATGACTCTATTTGATGTTCATTTACCTTTTTTGTTTTTGTTGTTATACGTGTCGCGCAATGATGATGTGGAAGCAAACTCTGAATGTGCGAACTTCTGAACATTATTGTAGTACTTCAGCAGGGAGAATTGTATTTACCTCGAAATGTTGTTTTATTGTGTGAAGGAAAACGTAACTTGTCTTCGTTTCAATAAAGATCTTCATTGTTCGATTCCACGTAATTTCTGGAAAAAAATTGTGCTATGTCGGTTTCATGGTGTTAAAATAGTGGCGAATTAGTGCTGTATGAATAGAATGAAGCCAACAGGACAACAACAAAGGAGAATAGAGACGATTGAACAGTTGCGGCTGTGATCGTGGTGCGGACTGTACTTGATGAAGATTCCACTGATGTTTCACTCGGGATGGTGCTCGACGACGATGTTGTGGAAGTTGTAGTTGGAGTTGCATTTGATGGTGCAGCGCTCCTGAAACTTTTAGTAAATGTTAACGACTGTATTCATACAATGGTTGAACGTTGGCAAGCCTCGATTATAATTGCAGCAGGCTGCGAATCAGAACACGATATTGACGTGGAAGCAGTGCTGCGTGGAAAAAAAGTGGTTGCATTGATTGGTGAGGTTGACGAGGCCAATGATTGATGTTGTTCGTCGCTGTAGAGGTTATTGGCTGCTGACCTATGGTTGCCCAGACGTGGTTGGTGCCCATGATCAAGAAAATGATCGAGAACAATGTTGCTTTCGGCCTCCTCTTGCCCCCCTTCTCCCCCTCCCCTCTCCCCTCCCATATCAACCAACCAACATCACTAAATATCACTAAAATATCACTAAAAAAGCGATGAAACAACATTAACAATAATTCAAAATTCGTTGAAAATTCATTACTGTTTTAGTTGAGTGTTTTCATTTTCAACCAGATCAAAATGAAGTATTCAACAAACTTTTTGTGATTCCACTCTATCGTTATTGAAGTATTAGTTTGAAGATGGATGAGTCCGTCACCCTCGATGTGAATCAATTTTTTCGGCTCATTCCAATAAGACTTTTGCTGGTCCACTTTTGCTAAATGCGAATCGATCTTCACCGACGTCAGATCAGGTACGTATCGTATACCGAGCACTTCGATGACGTCAAATGGAGGTACACGAGAGTCCTTAGAAAAGTTGATTTTATCCCTGAGGTTGGCCTATCGGATTGCAAATTCAAATGGTACGTGTGAATTCGGGATCAGTAATGGGCACTGCGCTTCAACGATGATCAACAGTGATCCAAAAAAACTTCAGGCCTGTGTCAAACGTAAGATCGTAAAGGACATGAGAAGGTTGGGCTTTTTGGGCGCTTTCAGCCAAGAAGACAACTTCAACGTTTCGAACTGAATTGGATGAGATGACTCGGAACGTTTGCGCACTGAAACAACGCGTAATAATGACTTGATACGACTCACGTGGATGCGACTCGTTATCAGCAACACACTGTTTTCTGGATTTGCGTTGAACACGAAATTTGACGCACTCTGATATGGAATTTTCGATTGATCTGCACCGTATTCCCAGCGGAAGCTCCCTTCCGCATGATCTGTTTCATCTAAAGATGCGGTTGAAGAGTGCTTCAATTGCACACAGTATCAAGTGATATTTTATCATTTCAAAAAAAGACTGAATAATAATTTACTATTGCATCCTCTCTAGACTAACACCACTCAATCAGTTCATTGTCGAAAATGAAAATTGGACTTGTCTAACAATGAGTGCGAAAGCAAAATTTCAACAGATCTACCGTAATTTTCACAGAAAGGGAAAGCACTTTTGACCAGCTTCTCACTGAGTTCGGTTCGAATGTAATGACCCAATGGAAGCTAATGAATTTCACGAATGAACTCTGTTCAACGAATACGCATGGATGTTATAACAAGTGAAAATAAGCTGAAACGAACCTAAAGCAATTAGTAAGTCGAAAGGATTCATCAGGGAAAGAAGAGCTGTTGAAGCAGTCCTCTGACGTGGAATGCAGTTTCCACCTGGAATAATCGCTCTTCATGTTTAACTAATGTGAAAAATAATTGGCAATCATGCGTTCGTTCGACTTATCACTAGTAGTATTCAGTTTTCATTACGACTTGATTGCAGAGATAGATCGAAAAATTGCATCGTTTCCACAAAGTTGAAAATCTTCACAAAAACGGAACCATGCATTCTCTTAACAATATTCTGAATGGTTTCGTTGACTACCTCCAAATGAACTGGTGCGGAATGAGGATGCGACAGAGTGAATGAAATTTTGGGCTCAGAATATAAGAGAATTAATCCTGCATGGATCAGCAATAGTAAATGATGTAATTATTCAGTTATGCTGCAATGAATAAGAAAGATTCTCGCCTCTTGCTAGCACAGGAATGCTTTGGTTCAGACTTGCACTGAAGAGTCGGTCGCCTGGTGCAATTTCAAGTCCGTAATCTTCAGTACCCAGTGAATACCATCTTCCATTTGGTAAATATGCACTCACCTCCACTGCACTCTTTAGGACACATAATTAAAACATGGACAGTATTGCGAGTCAAGCACGGTATTTCAAATCAAATGGTGTGTCACTGCGTCCATGATACAATTTTTTTTTTGATCTTAACGTCTGATAAATATGGATGTGAGTTTTGTTCAAGCTAAGGAGAAGTATTATGATGCTCAGATTTGATCGGTAAGGTTATAATCTGTTAATATCGTTGAATAGCCGAGATTCT